ATATATATATATATATGCTATATCATTTTTAGAATAACGATGCACATTTCAAGATGTGTATATGAAAAAACTATAATATTTTGAGATACAAAAAAAATGTTACATAGTTGTACTATATTTTCTACACTTAAAATGAAATAGAAACAGTTACGTTGGAGAGAGAAAGAGAAGGAAAGTCAAAAAAGTGTGGGAGTGTGCAAAAAGTTTTAACCATGATGATTTAACAGCAACTGCTGTACGAAACGTATAAATCAATTATATTAGTCTCTTGTTTTTCTTAAAAGAAGAAAATGAAAGGTGAATAACTGATGTATTATTTCTCCCGTGTACCATGCATTTTTGAAATTGCGAACTGTTTCTCTTTAAGCGATTTGAGCTATTTTGAAGTTGCTCCGTTATCAATCTTGAACACATGGTAAACATGTCACCGATGCGAGAAACTTTGCGTGATTCTAGCGGCGATTCTGGTACGTAATATGGACAGATGTATTATTTCTATCATTCCTCTGCAGATATCGCAATTCTAAAATATTAATATATTTTAATGTATTCACAATATTAAACAGAACGATAATTTGTTAATTATCTACTTGAGGTTATGTCTTATCGCAGGCGACATCTGATTTCTGATTTCGCGATTTTTCTTTTAGGATCAGAGTCCGATAATGCTTCCGCGTCCTCAAGATCTAGCCGTAGTGATAGCCGAGCATCGCAGGCTCCGGCCCAACAAACGTCAAGCAATGCTAGAGGAGAGCATTCTGAGGATGAGAACGGAGCACCAGCTTCACCTGCGTCAAACGCTAGCGGTAGCCGCGCCTCGAGGTCTACCAGCCAGAGTCCAATCGGCTCGAATAAGTTGGATGGCAGTCGTCGCTCAGAGAGTCCGTCGTCACCGGCTGGATCTGGCTCGAGACGTTCAAGCGTGGGTTCTGTCCAGAGCGAAAAATCTGGTTCTCCGAGGTCCAGAAGCGGCACGCCAAAATCAGCAGTCTCTCACAGCTCGGCAGATTCTCCAAAGTCTCCTCGATCACGCTCGCCATCGCCACACGGCAGCATACGTTCCTCGAGTCCAAAGTCACCCGTCAGTTCAAGGTCTGCACGTTCTAGGTCGGTGGAAAGAAAATCCAAGACTCCGGCCTCCCCTGCATCTAATGCATCTGGTTATGATTCCCTGAAAAGTCATAGATCTCGAAGTGCTTCTTCTCAAAGAAGTAATAAGTCAGGAGGTTCAGCGAGTCCAACAGAAAGGCGATCGAATTCTTCTGCATCTTCGAGGAAATTTGATGAACCAAAGAAAGCAGATTCTGAAAGATCTGATGATAAGAGATCAAGATCTAAAAGTCCGAAAAATGATAAAAGTGATAATGAATCGAACAAATCCTTCAAACAAACAGGTTTGCTTAGTTTTATTAATTATAATATTCAGAATATGATTTTTAACTTGAAGTTATTATTTGTATTAGCTAATTAATTATTGTTTAATGTTGAAATTTTTTTTTTCAATCAGTTAACGATCGTAGTCCAAAATCCGATGAGAGCGACGAAGAACAATCAAAGACTAAACGACAACATAGTAGTTCCGGATCAGATACGGAACAAATTATGAAACGAAGTAAACCGATAATAAACTCAGATTCTGAGAATGAGACAGTTGACAAAGAAAATAGTGTCGCTCCAACTGCGGACGCATTATTTGGTGATGCAAGTGACATTAGTACGGACGATGAAAAGGATAAAAAGGAAGAAAAAGAAAAAGAACGGAGCCGCAGTAGAAGTCGGAGTAGAAGTAGAAGCAAAAGTCGCAGCAGAAGCAAAAGCAGAAGTAGAAGTAGGAGTAGGAGTCACAGCCGCGGCAGATCTGAGAGTGGTGGAGAAGGTCCAAGTCGATCTGTTATCGAAGACGTAAGTTAACTAACCAAGTTTTTGCAACAGATTTTGACAAGACTATGAATGTTTTAACATTAAATTTATTCTATATGCAGGAGGACGATAAAGATAAGGAGGAAGAACCAGAACCACCTCCAGAGACTCGAATTGACGTAGAAATCCCGAAAATTACTACTGATCTAGGACGCGAGATTCACTTTGTAAAATTGCCGAATTTCTTGTCCGTCGAAACAAGGCCGTTCGATCACGATACCTACGAAGATGAAATTGACGAAGAAGAAACTCTAGATGAAGAAGGTCGTGCTCGATTGAAGCTCAAAGTTGAAAATACATTGAGGTGGAAGGAATCATTTAGTGACGATGGTAAAATGGTGAAACAGAGTAATGCGAGATTCGTTAAGTGGTCGGACGGTAGTATGTCGCTGCATTTGGGTTCAGAAATTTTCGATGTGTATAAACAGCCGTTACAGGGCGATCACAATCACCTTTATATTCGCCAAGGTACAGGTCTACAGGGTCAAGCAGTATTTCGAACAAAACTAACATTCCGGCCACATTCCACTGAATCGTTCACACACAGGAAGATGACTATGTCTCTGGCCGATAGATCGCAAAAGACATCTGGTATTAAAGTTCTTTCTCAAGTGGGAATGAATCCAGATCAGAATAGGTACGAAATGATAAAGGTATGTATATACTGTACATGTTAAAATTTCTATATATGTATTATGTTAAATTGTCATTACATTTCGTTTCTTTTTTTTTTTAGAAAGAGGAAGAAAAATTACGTATGGCTATGCGAGTTCAAAATAAAACGAAGAAAAGTACTAGTGGTAGTAGAAATACTAATCGTGCTACAGGAGCATACAGTGGTGATGCCTATCACGATGACGGTTCTGATGACGATGGTGCAATTTCATTAGCAGCCATAAAAAATAAATATAAAAAAGGAGCGATTCCTTCTAAAGGTTACTTGATATTCATTGCACTGTATTAGAACACATTTTAATATTCATAATATTACTAAAACATGATCTTAATATTTTTTCTGTCAAAAAAATTTTAATATTTTTTACGTTGTACTATAAAATGTAATATCTTTTAACTTCAACATATATTATCTTTATATTTTCATTGCATGTGTTATATTAGATTAATTTATTCTATCTATTTATATAAGTTAAAAAACGTTTTATTTCAGCATCGAATATTTATTCTTCGGATGAGGAAGGATCAGATATTGAGACACACAGACCTAAAAAGAATATTAAAGGAAAAATTCTAAAAGATTCAGATGAAGAATCCACTTCTGAAAGTTCTGCGGGTAGCGGTGGAGACGATAATCAAGTTGATGATGCGAGTGATTAAAAATGTATATATAATTCAGAATTTAGTATTTTCTTTTATGACAACCATTACGGTATATTATTACAATACACAATGCAAATAGCATGAAATAATATTTAATAATTTTATAGGTAATATTTGATTCATATATCATGTAAATAAATCAATAAATATAATACATATTTAAAGTTATCAATGCATTTCTTCTATTGTCTTAGAAGAAATATTTTTAGATTTTATCCTTTTTGACGAAGTTATGAAGGCTTCTACAGAGCCAGATTTTGCAATTCTTAAAACATAATGAATAAAATTATTTGTACTCCAACTGCACTGTAATAAGGCAAAATATAATAGAGTGTAGACATGCATTTGGTAAATAAGTTGGCTCGTCACTCCTGATCCTTGAAAATCTTTACCATAGGAATTTAATTACTAATCCAAAGCATTGAAATTATATTGCGATAAGTGTATTTCAAAGTAGTAAGTTTATTATTTAACACTGTAACTGCAGTTTTGCAAAAGTCATATAAAATAAATATTGACCAAATATCTATTAAATTATGTATTAAGTAGTATTCCGAAAGTGCACGCATATTTTACTTAGTACATCAATTTTTTTGGGAATTCGTAGCTCTAATTTTTATTACATCTTTATTACATCAGGAAAGGGAATTTGAAATTTAATTTAACAATTTTATTAAAACAGAGCTTTCTGAAATACTTCTTTGATTCAAATAATTTTTATGGCAAGAACTGCGAAATAATAATATACGGAAAGTATTAATATGATGTCTCACAATACTCAGTAACATTTCATCTATATAATATACAACAAAATGAACTTTATTAAAATCCACATAGAACTTGTTTTTTTTTCCGTATATAATGAAAATCTCTTATGAAGTAAACTGCACGAGATAACAAAATGCTTGTGTTATTGTAAATTACTTGCAATCGACCACCATTAAATCCTAATGTGCTGAGAAATTTCGTTAAGATGCTTTTGAAGAATTAATTAAATTGTGTCTGATATATATTCAATAAAAATAAGGTACTTTAATCACGTTGACGTAGTCAGTGTGAAGCAATATTTTGACAATAAATTGTACGTATTAAGTTAGTAAGTTTTTATACTGACCATGCGTTATGAATATTACATATTTTCCTGGAAATAATTAATATTCCTTTATTGGCAAGTATACTCAATAGCCTTATGGTATTCATCAATGTAAACCAGAAGATGGCCGATTTGACTAGACTACGATCTTAAAGTGGTAATTCTCAACGATATTTCTATAGAAGCGCTCGGTCAGGTCACTCTATGTGTCAGCTCCATTGTATACATATATATTACAGTTTATAAATTCTAATTTAAACTAGGATTTCGTCCTACGTCCCACTGTATCTCAATCCTTGGCCACTTTGTTTGCAGAACCGTCAGCATAGGATTGCTATCCATAATACATTTTACAGTACACTCAAGCAATACTGCTTGTCCTTTGTGATATTTCACTCTATTTTCCGGATTGCTACGCTGTAGACCATTGTAGTGATATAAGACGAACATATCTGGGCACATACATGGTTCCTCAGGAAAGAATTCATCCATAAACGATGCAAGAAGTATTATTCCTAAATTTTCACTGTCCAGTCTCTTCCTCATGATATCGACACTGCAAGAACATTTCGATATAAAATTTGCTAAGATTATTGTTAAAATTAAAGTCAAATTTAATATGAATAATTTTAATATAAATAATTTCACACATGCCTATTAATACAAAATGTAAATAATATATAAACTACGAAAGCGCGAATACATACTATTCAGCAACGGCTACTAGTCCTAGTTCCGCCAATACATCCTGTAGTAAATTTGCCGCGATAAAGTTATTCCCTTCTGGATCAAAACGTTTGAAAATTCTTCGCGCTTGTTCCGATGGTGTTTCTGGACTCACTAATCGCTTTTCCGTAGAAAAGAGTACAGTTAGATGCGTATCCGATCCTAGCACCCAGATTGGATGCGACGGTGATTTTAAAAATGTACCCACTTCGCAATATCGTAAATGCTCTAGCAAAGTGAGAAATCCTACTGTATTCTGTTTATCAATACCGCGTAATTCTGTAAAATATATAATATAGAGTACTGAAAGCTAATCTATCTATGTATAAATTAAAATATATAATTAAAATATACATAGAATTGAGATGATAATGTAATCAAGTTTAAAGAAAAGAAAAATCAACTCACTTAATCCACTAATATCTTGATCGTGATCCCAGACATGACTAACTGCCCGGCCAGTAAGCATTAAATTTATTAAACTTTGGCTTCCATATCCATAAGTAGAATCGATCATGGGTTCTGTGGGATCCGACATTTCGGAGCATATTTCTGGAACTCCTTTTGTACACATCACTGTATAAAGTAGAAGTAATATACCATACTGATCTTTTAACATTCCAATTCGTTCCGTAAAGAAATCTTCTACATCATCGATGCTATTTGTAGTAAATATCCTATAACAATCAATAAAATATCAATTAATAGCAAAATATTAAAAAATTAAAATTTATTAGAACATTATTTTCTAGTATAAGCTTACCTTAATTGAGAATGAAAAGCTTCTGATTCTAATGACACTTGTTTGATAGCCAATGTTTCATTAATTTGATTACCTTCGCTAATATCTTGGGCTGAATTTGCCATTGGCTCTGCTGATTTGGAATCAGTACCTTCTTTGCTAGATACGAAGTCATTAGAATCATTGGCATGTACTACTGAATACTTAGGATCCTGAACATCAGCAGCCTGATTTATAATTTCAATCAAGGCTTTCACAAGTAATTGATCACATTTTTCGGCTTTGATATCCTTCCAAGTTATAACATCGCTCTCCAACAGTAACTGCTTCAAAATAAATGCTTGAACCGCAGCTATCACAGCGCAAGGTCCTCCTTCTGTCTGTACAAGCGCAGTAGGTTCATCTATACTGAAGTAGAAGCCTACAAAAAATTAATTAGTGTAATTAGAACATACAGTAATAAATTTATAATATTTCTAGAAACTTTATAATGTTACATTTTGTCTATATTACATAAGAGGTACATGAGCATTATTCAACATTAAGTTATCAACTTAATTAATTATACATGTTATGTATTATACAATTATGCTATTAAGCAAATACTTATAGAAAATAATTGGGCAAGGCAAAATGAATGAATTTTCAGGTTGTCTTTCATGAAAGTTGCTATTAACGCTAATGATTGGCCATTGGATTGGTGTGTTACATATAAAATTCTTATGTCTACATGAAAATAACCGCCGTATTGAAAGAGAAAGCCTCAATACCTTGCGCCCATCGCTTGAAAACGTCCTCCTTGACGGTCGAACCCCACAAAAGCGTTTTAATATTTTTCAGGAGCTCGTCGTCACCCGCAATGGCATTATCGGCCATTATCTTCCGGATGTGCGCGATAATACGGGAGATTAAAACGCGCCGTGTACACGAATCTTATCTAGAACTAATCATAATATTTTTCGGCACTATTAGCTTCACGTTAAATCCTGAATTATCGGTCGCATATAGGAACCACCCGATAACCTATTTTGCACAACAGAAACCTGCCAAGTACGTCGCCATTTTGAACCGTTTTCTCTTTCACGTGAAGTGCGAACAAAGATGGATCCCTTTCCGCGATGACGCGCACTCGTAGAACAATCGATATATCGAATTTCAGTTCGAACGCGAATTCAAGAGTTGGAATTACTTCGACTAAACTTTAGCTAATTTAATCAACGACTTTATTTTAACGACTATTTTACTTATAGGCCTTATAGTAAAAACTCTACCTATATATATGCAATTTATTTTCTTGTACTTGAGGTAAGATGATTTTTTAAAAAGAAGATTAAATATAACTGGCAAAATAATTAACAAAGTATCTTGAAATAATCTTTACAAATTATCACGCAATTATGTTTGTAATATTATTTGTTGAACGAGTTAATGATCTTGATTTTTTTATAACAACGTATGTAATACACGTATATGAATAACAAAAATGTCTTTATACTTTATTACTTCGTAATAAGATATGTTAAATAATCACGTATACGTAAGTTATATATTAAAAAGTGGATTAGTTCAAGAACTATTTTCGACGTCTCGCGTGAAAAATTCAATACATTTTTTTATGTCTAATTAGATGATTGGCTCAAAGTTACTTTAACAAGACGGATTTTATTATTTATTGATTATATTATTATTTGAAATATACTTTAAGTGTATAGAATGAATAATTGCTTTAAGTGTATAAAGTGAATAATTGCTAATATTTCTGGAAACTTTGCGTTTAAACATATTAGTAATATATATTCATGTTTGCTTTAAACGCAACTTGTACACAATTAATTTTTATCCAGAGTGTATACTGCCATTCATGTATTATCTAAGAAATCACATAATCTTTGTGACTGAAAGTAGATAATCTAGAATTATTTTGTGATATATTTTCGCAAGGAATAAAATGGCAAATACAAGAATGTATGTATGTATCAATTAAATATCGATTAAATATACAAAGAGAACTTCTCTTTTTGATACAACTAATTATTTATATATATTTTTAATAATAAAGAAAAGAGATCTTTATAATTATCTTTAATTAATGTGGTTTACTATTGTAGAAATTTTATGAAATGAATTTTTTAAATGTGAGTTCTACAGATTTCTAAAATTTCAAACAAGAAATAGCATATATTTAATTTTTATACAATAAAAATGAAAAATATAATAATATAAAATATTATATTTAATTTCTTTTATATGGTCAGTTTGTATAATTTATTGCAGTTTCTTTACACTATTATCTGTAACTTGGCTTTAATGAATGCAGGAGCCACTTTAGGATATTCCTCCGTAGTATTTTCAGTACTGGCAAGTAATAGATCATCAATAACTTTAAATGCAATGGAGACACCTTTTTTCGGTAATTATTTTCAATGAAAAAAAATTTAATATTATTTCCCATTACAAAATGTGCTTATTAACATATTTTGTAATAAATAATACGATTTCAATTTTTATGATTTTTAATATCTGTTGATAACAACAATAATTTGAATAATTTTATATGCACCTAATTATGTTATAAAAATTTATTCGAAAAATTTTATCTTTTCACGGTCTCCAAATTATTGGTTGCCTCTTATGCCTTATCATAATGAACTATGGAAGACGATGTACCATGATAGTATATTGTGTAAATTTTTCTTTGGGATGAATTTCTTATTGGGAGTAGTTATAATGTGATACAACTCTTCATCGATAGGATGCTAATAGGTGAGAAATTCAAATCGAAAAAAGGAAAACAAAATCTTCTCGAAACTTATTTCTTTAATGAAAAAGCAAACAAAAACAATTCGTAGAAATGCTTTGTAAATTTTTAGGAATTGCAATGGGTATGTTTGCAGTTTCTGTTGGAATATATTTAGCAGAAATCTCTATTACTTCATGGAAAACAGTCATTACGGTTACCTCGCAAATAGCTCACTGGAATTCTGATCGTTTACTTTCTAGGATTTATTCTACAAGTAAGAGCATTAAATAATTTTTTATTAATAAGAGAATAAAAATATCATTGATAATTAGATAAAATTTGAGTTAATCATCATATGTTTTTGTATTATCTAATTTCAAACAAGTTTGTTTGAAATTTTGCAAAGTATCTGCTGATAAATTTTATCAGCAGAAAAATTAGTATGATGCAGAATCCGTTATATGAAATACTGGCGAATGCCAAAGTGTGAGAGAAAAACTCTTTACATGACTTCAAAACAGATGATAGAAATCAAGCAGACTTGCACATAGTTTGACGTAGATTAATAGCAGAAATCGAGCAAAATCTGCATTTGATAAGTTTTCGATTTTTGCTGCCAATCTGCCATCAGTTACATCAACAGTCTCTTGCTAGAGCAAGCTAATATGGACGCTAATATGGACGAAATCAAATTTGTTCAATTTTTTAAATCAAATTTACTAATTTGCTGCCATTCTGACAATAAGCTATTTGTTTTTTTTATTATGAATTTTATTTGAATACGTTAATATCGATTTTTAAATTTTATTAAAAATAGACAAATTAAAACTTTAGACGTTAATATTGTTAACATAATAAATATACACATATAACATATGTAATTAACATATAGATATATAATAAAATATAAATATAAATTAATATTCATATTTTATTTTATTTACATTTATATTTTATTAAAACACATTTATATTATTTCAGAACGATTGGAAGTCAATAGCAGCATTTTTTTCCATATTGTTTGTCCTATGCAATATTTTCTTCATCCGCGAAAGTTCTGAGTGGTTACTTTTAAAAGGCTGAAAGGAAGACGCTAGGATTGCTCTACTTTGTATCCACGATTTGCGTCAGGAAAAATACAGAGTTCCAAGAAGAGTTTACAAAAATGACAAACTATATCGAGTCGAGAAATAAATTTGAAATATCTCCAAATTGCCGAATAGATTTCTCCTTGACTAAAGAAATCAGACAGAGATTTCTTATTTGGAATGTGTGGAGCATACTAAAGAGAATTTGGAGAACAATCCTTCTACCAGAAGTGTGGAAACCTTTTGTGATACTAAATCTCTATTTACTTTTTCAAAAGCTTTGTAGACTGTATGTGATTATATTTTATACCATTGATTTTATCATCAGGATCAACATAACAATAGATCCATTTTTGATTATCATAATAGTAGGAATAATTCAACTAATAGACATTGTAATCATTGCATGTTATAGCAAAAGGTAATTATTTTTTTTTATTGTACAATCTACAACTACATTCAATATGAACTTATTATAAATCTACATAATACATCCATAAAAAATCAAACACCAATAGTTGAAGTAAAACTAATAATCTAAGACAAGAGCGATAATTATTAATTACATAATTATGAATATTAATTAGCGAAAATTTACTATTGTAACCTGTAATTTTTAATGTTTTAAATTCAATAGCTGTCGTGATATTTTTTTATGGACTTTTGTGGTTAATCTATAGATCACTCTATTAAAATGCTCATTAGACGTTATGATGTATTTCAAATTGATAATATTCTTGATAATATTCTAGAGACTTATATAATAAATTTTGAAATTTTATTAGAATTGATCGTCGAACTATTTGTCTGGTGTTGGTATATCAATTTCTTTGGGCGTTTTGACAGTGTACTTGCAATTTTTTGAGAACATTAGCGTTACAACTATTCCCATTGTTTGTATCCTTTTTTATGTGGTAAGAAAATAATGTTTTCATACATTATCTCGTCAATAGTTATAATTTTTTTTTAAGAAAGTAATTATTATTCGATGATCTCGGCAGAAATCCAACGTAGATTGAACTTTAGGTATTATCTTTTTGAAAGAGTTTCTTAAAAATGATTTATCAATATTAGCTAATTATAAAGTTTAGGATTAATCTCTAAATCGCAGGGTTTTGGATTATTTGGATTTTTTCGATTCCTTGGTTCATGATTCTGGAACAATAGCCTACTAGATATGTGAACATTTTCGGGCAATTTACTACTTTCATCTCTCTTGTAACCAGCTACATCATACAATTGTATCCAGTAATGGTAACACATGATAGAAATGTTACCATTTATTTTTACTGCATAATGTCTATTATTGCTACTATTTTTCTAATGATTGCTTTACCGGAAACACTGGGAAAGATGAAAACACAGATAAAAAATACCGTTAGAGGCAAGTTACAGATAGATGAAACTTTTAAAAAAATTGAAAATACATGTTAAATGAATGCAATGAATAGTTTAATGTTACTGAAGCAATTTATGCAAATTGATATAAGATAATATAAGAGTTTATAAGAGTTTAAGTAATGTAAACGCATCATTTGCAACAGATATTTTTTTTAAATAATTAAGATTAATGAAAAATAATTAAAATAATCGAAGTTATAATTAATTAAAAATAATTAAAAAGTTACATAGTTTTATATCAAATTTTTTCCGAAATGTCATAGTAGATTCCGAAGATTTTTCGCATTGAACACAATGCTGTTTTTCCAAAACTTGGATAACCTACCAGGATTTTAATTAATTGTCAAATGGGTCAAAAAGAGCGTTCTACATTTTTTCCGTAAAAAAATTATTTCTAATTAAAGTTAACAACATTAAAAGTACAATTCAAGAGATTTCGAATGAATTTTAATTCTTTCCTTACAAGGTACGTGTCCACGAATAAGCTTTCTCTGTATTATCATATGTGCCTATTTTAAAAATAGAGTGATATATGTTTATTCGTCCAGCGTTAATTTTACGTGTCACGCGTTCTAGAGTTTATAATTGTTTTGCCAGAATTGACATATTAATCACAGCTGTCACCTCAAGTTATAATTTCCTTAAAACTTTTATACATCATACGTACTAAATGATATCTTTTCCGGAAGCATATGACATGCACAAACAATCCTGAGTTTGCGAAATTAATCGAAATTGATCGAAGACTTAACAAGCTTTTTCAAAATTATCATCTTTTTTATATAACAATTATTTTTTTCTTTTTTACAGATTCGAAAATCTTTTTCCACGATTAAAATATATACGTTAATATGTGTCTGTGAGATGGAATTTATTCCAAGAACGACAAAACATTTTGAAATTGAAATCTTAAGAAAAATTTTTTGTCGTTTTCGGCATTAACTTCAAACACGTATTAATGCGTATATTTTAATCCTGGAAAAGGATTTTCGAATCTATAAAAGAGGAAAAAAGTAATTGTTAAACAAAATTTATAATTAGTCGATAATACAAATGGCTTTAGGATCCTCTTAAAAATATCTAATGTTATCTTGTTATGTGCGTCAATTAGACATTCTGCTCATTATTGCATAACTATTTTCATAGAGAGTTTTGTGAAGCGAATTTTTTTGTACAGAATAATCACATTAAGAAAAAAATTATAGTTAATTATAGTTAATTATATATTTATAGTTAATTTTAATAAATATTTAGTTGACAGTATTCAATTAAATATTTATTAAAATTGACTATATTTTTTTTCAGTGCAGGATATATAAAAAATGAATTCTTTAGATCATGGAAATGCAATTGTCGCTACTGATTAGTAGTTTATTAAATAAATATCGATGTGATACGATTACATACAAATTCATATATCTGACATGTAGCTGCATTTACATATTAAAATGTAAATATATAACTAGCTCTGTAATGCAGTACCTTGTGTTTATCGCTTAAAAATATTTTTCTTTGGTCCAACTTCATAGGAGCATTTTTCAGATTATTGCCTGCGACCATTATCTTTCAAAAGATTCTGTACTTTAAAATAAAAATTATAAAAATGAGTAAATAGATATATTGACCAATGAAATTATAAATATTTTAATAAATTCGCTCATTTTTTGTAATTTTTCCTCGTCTTAAAATACAAAATCGATTCCTTATAATGCGTGCAATAATACGATAAATTGAAATGCATCATATACATGATAAATGTTACGTGCATTATATAAAAAAATTGTATGTTAATACAATGTTAATAAAATAATAATATTTGACCTCATCTGCTCTTTACTTTAGCCATATATTTTTATTGGCTTCAGTATTTTTATTTATAATTATAAATAAATTATCTATTTTGATTGACATGCTGTTTTTCTTAGTGATTATTGCAGTTTCATTTATTCTTCTACTTTCAAGAATTTAAGAATTAATTATGTTAAATTTAAATTGATTTATAACATTATTACCGTTATAGATAATTTATGCAACTTCTATATAATTTACGGATTGCTAACATCTATTGATTTCTTACACTCTGCTTTTGTTAGTGCCTCGTCTTTAAGACAGATAATGTAAATTTTTTTCTCGCGCAAATTACACTTAAAGTTATATTTTAATACAATGTGCGTACACTCTTATCTTGATACAATAAATAACATGTCTTACACTTTATGCATATGCGTTATTGCTCGTAATCGTGCATTCCGAGTGAAAGTAAAAACTCGTAAATCCACAAGCATTTCGTGAAGGCATTTCATGATATCTCAACATGGCGCGTTTACTGACAAAAGTATTAACGAAAAATACTTTGTGAAAAATTAAATTATTTAAAGACGAATTCAATTATGTAAAAAACAGGGTATCAAATTTTCAAGAAAGATATTGAGTGGAACATTATGCAACATTTTCAAATATATACAATATGTAGAAATATAAACTCATGAAGCCGATTAAGTATTTATAAACGATTAGAATAATTACGAGAATCGTGGGTATATAGTCTTAATAATATCTAGATGTAAGAGTGAAGAATCCCAAGTTTAAATTCTGGTTTGTTGTGTTAATTTTTTTTTTGCAATTACAATTTTAGAAATGAAGTTACAGGATTCGCTTATCCTTGAGGAAGATTGATGTTTCTAGTGAATGCATAAAGTGCATTATTGACGTACATTAGAAAAGGAATGTTAATGTCTAGCTGGAGAAGTCATAAAGTTTAGGATAGAAACAAAAGGAAAATTATCAGTAACATTTGAGGATGAGTGTTATCAAACTAGTTTACAGAAATATAGGACCGTAAGGTCGATTAGATATATGTATGTAAGATGATATATATTAGGATCAGTGAAGCAGATGTGGATGTGGCAGTTTTAATAGTGTCTAGATGTAAAAACAAAGATTCCTACTTATAATAGAGGAGAAGGTAATAACGTGGGCTTTTACTGGTAAGTCTTACTTAAAAATCTATTATAATTAAAAGAAATCTCTTTTAAAAAATTTTTTATTAAACGAAGAGTTTCTAGGATCTTACATGTAAACATACAACAATAAAGGATGAAGGAAAGAAAGTTTTTTTTCTTTAATGGTCAAGCTGAATCGCTTAATTCTATGTCAATTTATATAGTACCTACGTAGTCATTTAAATAAATTTAAATGATTACATCTAACTTAACCGTTAAAGATTTTCTTTCCACATCTTTAACTTTTCATAGATAAATATCGAAGTTGTAAAAAAATTGTCACCATGACGCGTTCGTTTTGTTGGTAATTGATGTTTTTCTATTACTATCTTATTAGAAGTATATCAAAATTTTTTTTATATGATTGTCAAATATGACTTAAAGTACATAAATAACGAGTTTATATTTTAATTAATTCTTAAAGTGCTGTTCTTCTGTTTTGAGAAGATAGAGGAAGGGCTAAATAACTATATTTTTGCTGGGACATAATAAAATGTAATTTTTTAAAAATATTTATTGTATTCTTTGTTATATTTTTTGTTATATTGGGCCATTCAACCATTGAGTAAATTCAGCCATTGAGTAAATTAATGTGGACCCCGTTATATACATTGCAGAGTTTTTTTTGTTAAAACTCGATTAGTACTTAAAAATGATTTTAAGAAGTTCCTAAAGATATCTACAAAGCAAGAAAGAATGCTTATAAATTCACAAGAACAGGATCAATACAAGAATATTATTAGTAGATATATTTATAAAAAAAAATTTCTGAATCGTATAATATTTTAATACAATCAGAATTTTTTATTTTTTATTTCCATGTTTGAATTCAAGCATGGAAAATCTAAAATAATCTTGAAGAATTCAATTTTGAAAAAATATAGGAAATACACTTTACTATTACATTTAAATAGTCAATCACGTTTCTTTTTATTTAAACATTTCATTAAAATTTTTTTTATTTTATAAATTGTCTAAATCATTTAAAACGTGTTTTATATTAAACTTAAATCAATAATAAAAGAAATATAAAGTCGAAAGATTTAAACGAGCAAGGACGACTAATTAACTTATTCTGTTATTCCACTTTTTATGAGATTTTTATGAGACTTTTTTTATACAGCACGTATATTTCGGACTTTACTTAGTCTTCCTCAGCAATTAAAAAAAAAATTATAAGTTTATAATAGATCGGATTGTTTAAGGATCTCGTTTCATATATAAATAAATGCAGATGTTACATAATTCTCCTCTACGATGTCAGTAAGCAATCATTATATATGTTTTTAATGATGTCCATATTAAAATTTATATTGTAAATCAATTCTTCGGTCCGTACCGAGAAGATAACATCAAATTTTAAAAAATATATATACCATACAAGTTAACAATAATATGGATGCATATGATGTCAGAATTCAATATGATCAGAGAAGACTATGAACAAGAAAGCACATGCAATAAATATTTAACATCAGGCGTTCGTGCAATAAAGATCTCACAATTTATATTTCTTATTCAACATATATATGTACCTCCAGTACCTCTCTCTCTCACAATTTCCTCTGATCATAATTAAATAATAGAATAAATCAATCACCTTGTTTGCCTAACAAAATTTACTGACTTTGTATTTGATTTGTTATTTCTCGTTCCCAGAGAATCGCATGACGGAATCGCGTAGAATAAATAAACGATAATATATCATTTTTCCAGCTATTTTTTGGAATTTTCAAGGCATTTCGTGATCTTTCGTCGGAATGCGAATTAGCTCGTTATTATAGAATGCTTAATGGAATTGCATGGAATACACGATGGTACATCCCAACCCTTTCCGATCATTTTCTGAAATCTTCTAATTCTAAGCATTATGTGGCTTTTTACCGAAATGCGGATGTTAGAATAATTTAATATTTTTAATACTTTAAATAAATAAATTATCGTTAGGAATATCATTGACTTGAATATAATTAAAAAAATTAAAACATTAAAATACATTTAAAATACAAAAAATATATTAGGACCTAATTATATTTTTCTTTAATAATTTTTAAACATCTGAGTATAAAATATTTGAAATAATTACAAAAATTTATTTAACTTTCATATATTTCTTACTTATTTTAGCGATATGCACTTATAACAATAGATATTTTAAATCTCTTTTATTGATCTGTATTAGAATATCCAAATATAATACTAGTCTAAAAAGAGCAGAACATCTCGAAGTTAGAAGTCAATTGGCGGTCTCGAATTCCAATATATCAGGAAACGTTTCAAAATGTTTGTGGGACAGATAAAGGTGCGTAATCATCTGCATCATTTTCTTTTAAAAAATTCCAGGAAATATATTACAATTTTAAATAACTATATATTCCACCATCAGATATTTTTCCACTTGTAAATAAACCTCAATAAACTGCTGTTGGGGAATCATGAAAGTTAATTCCGATCAAACGCATTATAATAGAAACCATCGTAGAATCGTGATAGAATAGAAACGTAGAACATGTAGATGTAACAGCGTGAACATCGTCAGCGTTATTTTCTCCTCGAGTACGCACTTCTATGCTAATCACGTCATTAAATTCCGCCAGATCGGAGGACCTAACGAGTCATAATTGCTCCTGGTAGTGCTTGCATTGTACATGCTTGTAATCGTACATACTTTGTTATAGTTCCGAGAACTTACGACGTTTACGAGCTGAATAGAGCGAAATCTAGACACGGAAATGGTTAGCTGCCGTTTGCTACACCTTGCAAATTCGCTCGCGTACTCGCGTAACATAATCAATGCAATTGTAATCGAAATAAACGCGGCATCTATCTGTCTATATCGTGAATAGAATCCCTTTTCTTTTATTAATCTGAACTGAAAACAATTTTAATTCCGCGCTTATGCAAATCAAGACAAATCATAAGATGTATCTCCTTTTAATACAAAAAAAAGAATTAGAAACGAGCAGTGACCTTTCACGCTTCATTCAATTTCGGGAGAAGATTCATTCATACGATTTTACCGGTAATGATAAAATAATTGGACAGATATCTTTGTTATAGAGGGTGAAACTTAGTCAACTCTGCAATCGAAGTTCGTGGTAAATGAAAAAAAATTTAAAAGAAATCAATTTTTCTAAATCATATAAAAGTTATTGTCTTCTTGGGTAGCAAAATTATTTTTGTACACAGACGGTCAACTCTTTTTATCTCTGGATAGCATAATAATTAATTTACAAATATTTGAAAATATTACAAGTCGCAAAGGGGTAAACTTAAAATGTTCATGGTATTAAACCAGTCTTACAAAAATAAAAGCGGTCTTATAAAAAACTGATAAAACTGTATTATTATATTTTCTTAGAGCAAATTGCAATTACTGCTGTTGTACTGTATCGTCGTACAAAGCTATGCCATACATAAAAATGGATTGACATCGACTACGTTAGAAACGACGAGCGCTGATACTGGTATCATTGACCAAAATTCCAATGAATCCTTCCAATCTGATCAAGTAAAAAAAGTTTTTTTCCCTCTAGGAACTAAAGATAATCCGCTAGGTAAGAAACAGATTTTTCTTTTCCATAGAAAAGACATTGTGCCAAAATAAAAAAGGGATTATTTTACAAGAATTTCGAATTGTTACACAGGTCATGTTAGCATATCAAGCAATGTGTTTGTGGAGAAAGAGGGACTTTCGAAACTACCCATTGAATGGGAAAATACAAGGCGAGATCATTCATTTAAGAAGATCACTGTAGACGATAATGATAGCTCCAAAGAAACATCTGATAAGACCTCTCAGTTTCCATTGCTCCCAAAAGACGACAGTCTGACAGGTGAGAGAGAGCTTTGTCGTACACGCAGAAAAATATCATTCTATTGCTAAGAAAAGTGATTACTAAATTTATTTCCTTTCTTTTAAATAACGATTATCTTCAACAAAGAATATTTTTTTATTTAATCTTGAAATATGTTTATTTTTTATAAAATTTTAAAAATACTCATTATTATGTATTTAAAACAAGAATTTCTTTTTTTTTTTTTTTGGAGAATATTATAAAATTGAAGAAACGAATTTTTCATAATATAAACAAATCAAATTAATTTTAATTTAATAAACTTGATTAAAGTATTAAACTTACTAGGATTCAGAATATATTTTGAATAAATTTAATATTTGTGATGAACTTATGATAGATATATAAACTTTTGAAATAAGTAATTATTACTTGTGTAAAGTAATTATTACTTGCGTATTTTTCTGTGTATAGAACAGTATAATGTCACATTAAAATAAAGAAATATAAGTAAGTGGAGAATGTCATATTCGGTCAAATGAATCTTTGTGTGTATTAATATTTTTTGTAAACATTTATACAATGTATAAATATTTATACAATTTTCAGTTCAAATAAACTGTGCGTCGGTCTTGAAGCACTAATATTTAATTGCTTATCAATTTAGTTTATGTTATTACCATCCATTATCACTCCATATTCAGTTTAAGATTGTGTTTTAAGATTGTCGACGCACAGTTTGCTTAAATTGGAAATTGTATAAATTTACAAAAAATATTATTAACATGAAGATTTGCTTTGAATTAATATGGCGTTTTCAATTCATTGATGTTTTATCGGTTGATTTTTCACTTATTAACAAATTATTATTTTACAAGAATCTCTATTTCTTACACAGAGGAAGTAAACACAATGTTCTCGAAAATTGGAAATCCAGGAATCAAAAGAAATCATATAGAATCCTATTTTGTCTTTCATTTATTTGGCCATCCAGTGATAACATATCATACAGAATCTAATAGACAAACTGCCATTAAGAACTCCCAACTTCTACTGGATGATTTACTTTAATCTTGAATGCTGGCAGAAGAGAGCGACAACGAACCGAAAGGTGAAAAAAAGATTTTTCGCCATGGAGAGACAGAATATCGCATCAAAGTGAGAATATCATTTCAAAAGAATTTTGAACTCTTACACAGATCAGAAGATAAACGCAGACGAAGTTCGCGGTATCGATTTAAACTATGAAATTACATCATCTCAGTAATCCAGAATGGATATAAATGGATTAAAATTTTTATGTGTCTTTTAAGAATATAATTGAATCCAACTGAATTAAAAAAAAAACTTATTTTATTCAATTGAATTTTTATTCAAATGAATTTAATTGGGTTAAATTGGATTGAAAAACTGCATTTTCTATTCAGAATTTTGAATTGAGCAGTTTTTACGATGCATAAAAAAAGTTGATATTATTTTTAAATTAAAAGGCATAGAAATGTGCTTCATACAATTAATATAAATGAATAAAAATATGTTTAGATTAAAAAGAATTTATTTTTTCTCAAATGCGTATTTTTAAAAATTTGAATCCATTTCAATCCATAATTCTGAAAGGACCCAGTGAGATCTCTCGTCCGATTGCTGAAAGGGACCGGTTGGCCAAATCATTCCACAATCTCTCTAAATGCCGTCGTTCGATAATTATTATCAAATTGTGAAAAATAATAACACATCAAAGAAGAACAATAATACATAAAGAAGAACAACAATAAAAGAACAATAATCAAAGAAGTTCTACATGGAAAACTATATCTCACATTTGTATTCCATAAACTCCATACAATACTTTCGATTATCATTACTTAGACTCAATTTCACAACTCATGGTTAACTCTTAATCGAGATTTAACTTATTCCTCATCTCTTTCTAATGCTAGAATTGGAAAGAGAGAAATAAGTTGAACCAGGCTGAATTAACCGTAAGTTGTGAAATTGAATCTTACAACGCTTCAATGACATACGTATATGGCAAATCCTTTTATAATCCCAGAATGTCTCTAACTATCAAATCACTTGTTAATTATCAAAGTGCAAAAAGTAACAACATGTCAGAGATACATAAAATAACATACTCGCTAATTACTACAAATATTTCATAGTACTTTCGATTACTAGTCATATCGGAAATTTATACAATGCAGCAAATTTAAAATTCTATTATTCAGTATATATAATCCCAAGTCTTTTTATAATTCTAAAATATCTACAATTGCTATGTCGCCCAATAATTATGTATAAACTGTAGCTAATCACCGCTTGCCAGAAATGTATAATCTTAATAATGTTTAATGATAAAGTTGATAATGGCGATCCATCAATTTATAGGACTATCGACTTTCACAATATCTCGAGATAAGAAAAAATGTTTAAAATAAATAATATTTACTGTAAAACAACACAATAAAATGAAAATTTATTCTGAATACTCAAAGGTTGTAATTTATTAACGATACGATAAATATAGGATATAATATTATTAAAAATTAATTTAATGCTTGACTGATAATTATATGCCATATTTGCAAATGTAGATGATTTCTTTGTACTTTCATTTCGCGGAAGAACAAAAAAGTCGATTAATTAAATAAGCATTTATTGTTAATGAATGAAACCGAACTTTCATTTTATAAAATACTATTTATATTTTTTATATAAAATAAAATACTTTTCGAGCAATTATTGATGAAATTTTATATACAAAAACTATCAATACATACAAGTTCAGTTCGATTGTTAAAGAAATTATTCTGGTTGAAAAATTTTATAAAAATTCAGTGAGATACAAAATCGATATCGATCTGAAATATGTATTCTGTAAACATATCTTATTTATTTTTAAAATTTTAAAAGAATATAGAGGGCCTTCAAAATAAAAATATAATAAAGAAAAAATAGAAAGAATATTGTATTTATATGTCGATACAAAAATTTCCTAAACATTCGCTGTATTCGGTTTGCTTCAAACCATCTTCAGTAAGTTGTCAATAATTATGCACATATTACGTAATATCAGTCATGTATTGATCTGTGGCTCTTAGAATATGAATTTTGATGGTTTAAGTATCTGACTTCCATCTGGATATTTAATAATTTAATAATCTTTTATTGTATTTTTTTATAACAATAACTTTAAAAAATTGTCTGTATTTTTTTATTAAATTGACGTGTTACGCTTGGAATAAGTGATTGTGATCTATGGAGATGAAGACTAGTCATTTGGCTTAAAAGCGAAGAAACAATTTTGGCAATTCTCAATCTGATAGTAGAGATATGCTCATCCTTTTGAAGCAAAAACGTACAGGAAATGTTTGTATCGACATAGTAGTACAATATATTATGTGAATTAATTGAAATTCTTGTTATAATTGAGCATCAATTTCCGCGCTATATTTTGACGCTCTCATTGCCTTATATTCTTTTATTGTTGTATCATTTATTTTCCCTAAAGTTTTTCCAAAATTTTCTTCTAACTTTTTTTTCCTATATTACAATTACATAAAACATTTAAAAATTTTAAGTATTCACAAATGTAAGTATAAAAAGAAATGCAAATATTTAAAGTGTTTCGATAGCTTTTGCTTAATTCTTTTAAATTAAATAAATAAATATATTTGAAGTGGAACAATATATCGTTGAGCTTCTTTCACATTTAAGCCACTTAGCGACTTAATCTTGGCACGTCGTTTTTCTGATGCTTTCGCAAGTTTTAACGATGTTACACTCGCATGGTGAAATTTATGCGATGAATTGCGTCCGTTAAATCGGGCATTGCCGAATAGGTGACTCGTTTTACGATCAGATAATACGTGATATTCGTGATACGCTCAGATAATTCGTGATATTCGTGATACACTCAGATTGCCGATGGACAAGAGTACCAATTTGGCTCACATTAATGTCTCAATTCTATACTTAAATAATCTGCTTCGTGTGTCTCAAGAGATAGTATTCATATACCGCGGGTGTATAATATGTATATACGCAAATTACGTATGCAACGACGGCAGTCAGCGTAAAAAGGAAATTAATCTTATTCGCAAGATCGTAAGATAGACAAAGGAAGATACCCAAGAAAGCCGCGCGCTCCGGTTTGTGTTCCGGTTTAACGGCCCGGTCTTCACTCGCCCGACGTGAATCGCGTCGTTTTTAGCAAGCGTTGGGATCTTGCAACACAGCCGGCGTGTACTTGTTGTAATTAGTTTGACTTTCACCCATCGCAGTCGCCATCCATGTCGAGTATCGTCCGCCGCCATCGCTGCCGCCACTACCGTCCAAACAGATAGTCTCTCAACGTATTCGTGAATTCAAGAGCTATCGGGATCCGACAACTGTCATCGGTGCGATTTTTCGTGCGGATGACAGAAGATTTTGTAATCGCGATGCGTATTTGTAAATACGATATATCGGCCAAGGACACACAAATTCTTCAGGGCTCTCCGAAATTTCTCTCTCTTTTTTCTCGCATATTTTCGCTTCTCCTGCTCTCTCTTTCTTTGTCCGTTACCGTTATTATCACACAGGTCACAAGTGACGCACGGGAGAACTTTGAATCCATAATCGATATCGTATTAAATACCGGCGACATATTAATAGTCAGGCTCTTTTTCGATAATCCCGTCAGCCTTGAGAGCCGTCGAAAGTCTTAGGATTCTCCGTATCAGGTAGGTTTCGAAAGAGATTAGAAAAGTTGAAGTTACGCGAATTTTGGAATCTATTGATTGAAGATCTAAGGGTGGGCGAGAGAGCGCCCGTATAATGCAACAGCAATTTCGATATTACGGAACATCTGCTGAAGATTATACGAGAGTCTCGAAGGCGAGATCTTCTTTTACCATCTTTATATTCTATGAGATTATCCTGTTGAAATTGTGCTACGGTAATGGGGATACAGATCGTCGAGGCAGCCAAGCGTGCACATTTGACATTAAGACTCCCGGTCCCTCACTGCGATTAATTACATTGAACAATGGCGAAAGAAACGGAAAAATCATCTTTTTTATCAATAATACAAATTAATTTATTAATTCATTGCATTAATATAAATTAATATGTTTGTAATTATAAATTATATAAACGGAAATAAACGATTGCGTATATAGAATAATTTATATATGTATATACATATATTAAAATATATAAGATAATAATGTATATGATCAATATATATAAAATACGACAAGATAGAAGTAACAGTAATCATAAAAAATTACCAAGTAAGTAAAAAAAATATTTAAATTTTATTATATTGGAAATAGCGAAGAGTCCAAAACAGACATTAACAACGGACCGACCTCTGTGTATTCTATATAATTTATGATAATAACAATATCATTACATTTCATTGCGCAGTTTTTTTTACCGTGTACGAAATCCGCTCAACGACAATATAACGATATCATTATTGTCATAACGTATTACAAAATACAGAGGCTGGGCTGTTTTTAATAGGTTATATTTTGAAAAATACGTAACCATTAAACATAGACTCGGTCCGTTGTTATTATCTCAATTTAGCCTCTTGATAAATACATCAAATTGCCTTACGAAATTTCATAATGCAAGACAACAAGAAAAAATCAGAGTACTCCACATATTGCAGGATTCGAATCGTGATTTGGTCTTCAAGTTTCTTCTAAACAACGACTCTGTCTGACTGAATCACATAGCTCTTATATATGTGATAACTTTTCTGTTGTACTTTTATATATATATATATATATAAACACATATTGCTTATTTGTGTTATTTGCGTAATGATCATTATTATTACTGTTCATTTCGTTATAAAATATATTCTTTTGGTAAGAACTAAATTTTCCTAAAGTATGCTTCAGAGATTTTAAAATATCGCGGACAAATCATACTATCATATTTATTTCCGTATCAGATTTAAAAGAAAATTTTATCATAATCCAACGTGGCTGCAGCGAAGGATTCCTTAGATGAACAGGCTAAAAATGTGAGTCTTATTACGCCCAATTCTATTATATTTCCGAGATATGAAGACGGGTGAAATTATTCGAGGCAGTGGAAGATAACCTACGACCGAAGAGAGTTTGGAATAAAAAATTCGATTATTTGACGACGATCTCTTTTAATTCTTGATGTCACATCGATGAAACTCGTCTCCAACAACGTAATCATTACTCATGTAAACTTTCGTGCAAAAAGTATACAATTTATTAATTAAGATCACCATCATATTTACAATTTGTGCAGTCTGTTGCACAAGAGCGCGCGGACGATTACTCTCATAT